ACTCACACTGCCATGAGTGTGGGGCCCTTGCAGCCAGTGAACACACTCACTTACACTGCCATGAGTGTGGGGCCCTTGCAGCCAGTGAACACACTTACACTTTCATGAGTGTGGGGCCCTTGCAGCCAGTGAACACACTTACACTGTCATGAGTGTGGGGCCCTGGTAATGCACTTTCAGAGCCAGGAAGAACCTGCATGAAACTGGCAGCTCAAAGTCACGTGCTACCGTGTGACCTCCTCCCAGCGGGAGCGCCAGTGAACATGAGGTATAAAGCTGCCGGGTCAGGAAGAGGTCCTCGGTTCAGGGTCGGTGACGGCCCTCTGCAGGACCTAAGCGTGTCAGACAGAGATTTATTATTCAGAAACATCAGTCAGCTGCTCCAGAAGGGCCAGTTTGTTTATTCCTGGAAAATACTTTCCATTTTGCTGCAAATCTATATCTGACCTGCTGAGGAAACTGTTTCAGAAAATGAACCCAAAGGCAGAGAACTGCTTCATTTCTGTAAATAGCAGCAGGGAGCCATTGCAGCCTCTGAGTGGCCCCTTCTGGAGTCTGCTGATACTCTAGCCTAGTCATTTGAAGCTGAAGAGTATGGTCCTGTATGCCCTGAAGACACCTCATCTACCACAGAGTATTGTAAAATTATCCACCTGTTTGGATATAGCTTAGAAAATTTCCAAACACAAGATCCAGTCTCTTTATTTCACTGTTACTCAGCCAGCTGAGTGTTGTGCCTTGTGACACTCTATCATCTTGAGGAATTCTTCTGGGGGTCTAACAATAAAAATGTCTTAAATCTAGTTCCTCTGGTTTCTCATTTTTCTGTTCAATTCAAGGAAAAGCAGATATTCATTAGTCTCTACTACTGAAAGGCAGTCACTGTGGGTATTGAACCTCAGCTGTCCTGGCATCGTTCTCTTTACTCACCTTAGATGACCAATCAGGAACCTACCTGACTGGCTTTTGATTTTTATGTGTTTTGTTGGTAAGTTAATTATATTCCTTTTTATGTTTTTACTTACTTTTTTAAATTTCATACACTATATTGACATTCTTTCCCCTTCCCCAACTCCTCCCAGATCCTCACCTCCCTACCCACCCAACTTCCTCGTCTTTCTCTTCAAACAACTACAGAGTAACCATGGCGACTGCTTGTGTGGGCCAGCTACTGAGATGGGCCTGCCCTGTAGTGTGGTTAACGGACCCAGTGACATGCCCTTGGAGACAAGTTATTTCCCTTCCCCAGCACCCGCCAGTTGCAAATAGCTTCTTGGCTAGGGGTAGGACTTGTGCCCACTTCCTCTCCTCTGTGCTGGAATTCTGTCTGACTTGAGCTGTGTGGTTGGTTTGTATGTTTGGGGACAGGATCTTACTATGTAACCCCAGCTGGCCTGGATTAACTGTAATTCTGGCTTGCTTCACGGTCACTGACATCCTCCAGCCTTTGCCTCCCTCCTAGTGCTGATAGTAAAGGTGTGCACCACCATGTCTGGCAGCTTTTTCAAAATATATATATTGATTTTTATGTTTCTGTGTGTGTGTATTTGCCTCATGTATGTGGGTGCCCAAGGAGATCAGAGTAACATGGCAGATCTCATGGAGCTGGAGTTGTAGCTATTTGTGGCCTTCCCGATGAATGTGGGTGCTGGGAACCAAACTTGAGTCCTCTGGAAGAGCAGCAAGTACTCTTGGGCAGTCTCCCAGCCTCCATAATTGACCTTTAAAAAATTTGTATAATTAAGCTGGACAGGGGTGGCACAGGCCTTTAATCCCAGCACTCGGGAGGCAGACAGAGGCAGATCTCTGGGTTCGAGGCCAGCCTGGTCTACAGAGCGAGTTGCAGTACAGCCAGGACTACACACAGAGAAACCATGTCTCAAAAAAACAACAAACCAATTATATAATTATAAAAATTTTTTAATTAAAATCTAATTACATCATTCCTTCTTTGCCCCTCACATTTGCCTTTTTTCCTTTGTTACATATATGTGTGTGTGTGTGTGTGTATATATCATATTCCTAAATGTAGAAATACAACCTGCTCTGTATGTCATTTCAGGGCTGACCACTTGGTACTGAATAACCAGTTGGGGCTCTCTGGGGAAGATGATTTCTCCCATCTCAGCCTTTCTTGGTTGCCTTAGTTCTTTGTCTGTGATTGAGGCCTCTCTCCCTTCTCTGTTAGCTTGTCTGTTAGTGGTGTCCTTGTTCTGGTCTAGTTTAGGCAGACATATTGATGAGAGTTCATGGATCTATCCATATTGCTGGGAGACACAATGTCAGCAAACTTCCTGTTCCTCTGGCTTTTACAATTTTTTTTTTCAGAATCTTACCCTGTTTGGACAGGAACTCACTATGTTGAAAGCTAAGCTTTCAACTCTGCTATTTACTAGCCCTTTATCCTTGATAGACAGACAGACAGACAGAGAGTGGGTGGAGAGTGTGTGTGTGCATTATATGGGGCGGGGGAAGGTTTATTAGAACAGCTTACAGGTTGTGGTCGAGCTACTCCAGCAATGACTATCTACCAATGGAAGGTCCAAAATTCCAGTAGTTGTTCAGTCCACAAGGCTGCACGTCTCAGCTGGTCTTTAGTGTATGCCAGAATCCCCAAGAGGTAGGCTCTAATGTCAGCAAAGGAATGGACTTGCCAGAGAGGGCCAGCTTCCCTCTTTCATTTCCTTTATATAGGCTACCAG